AAATCTATAAGAATCTTCCGTACCATATGGGGAAATATTATAATATAACGGGTGATTTTTTTGAGGTTAGGATTTTCATGCATTAGTATTTGACAGATCACGTGGGATTTCAGACATGGTGTCAAAGAGAAAGATGCTCAGTATGCTTTGACATTTCATCATGAATAGACTTACTAACGAGCAACGCTTGCAAATCATTGAATTTTATTACCAAAATCAGTTGGCAGAAAATCCGCTTTTTTATCGACAAATTTTGTTCAGCGATGAGGCTCATTTCTGGTTGAATGGCTTCGTAAATAAGCAAAATTGCCGCATTTGGAGTGAAGAGCAACCAGAAGCCGTTCAAGAACTGCCCATGCATCCCGAAAAATGCACTGTTTGGTGTGGTTTGTACGCTGGTGGAATCATTGGACCGTATTTTTTCAAAGATGCTGTTGGACGCAACGTTACGGTGAATGGCGATCGCTATCGTTCGATGCTAACAAACTTTTTGTTGCCAAAAAATGGAAGAACTGAACTTGGTTGACATGTGGTTTCAACAAGATGGCGCTACATGCCACACAGCTCGCGATTCTATGGCCATTTTGAGGGAAAACTTCGGAGAACAATTCATCTCAAGAAATGGACCGGTAAGTTGGCCACCAAGATCATGCGATTTGACGCCTTTAGACTATTTTTTGTGGGGCTACGTCAAGTCTAAAGTCTACAGAAATAAGCCAGCAACTATTCCAGCTTTGGAAGACAACATTTCCGAAGAAATTCGGGCTATTCCGGCCGAAATGCTCGAAAAAGTTGCCCAAAATTGGACTTTCCGAATGGACCACCTAAGACGCAGCCGCGGTCAACATTTAAATGAAATTATCTTCAAAAAGTAAATGTCATGGACCAATCTAACGTTTCAAATAAAGAACCGATGAGATTTTGCAAATTTTATGCGTTTTTTTTAAAAAAAAAGGTATCAAGCTCTTAAAAAATCACCCATTACAACACATACATTGCACTTGACAAATCCGTCACAAGCGTACTTCCAAACCCAGCTTGTTTTAGGCATGTCTAAAATATTAATATTTACGAAGTTGGTAATGCACGTACAGATATCGGATCGGTAACAAATAAAATTATTGAGACACACTCACCTGCGAATCTAAACGATGACCGACAGTTGAGGCAATTTTTGTGTTGGAATGAAAAAAATTTTAAAATTTCTTCCACAATTATTTCACAACAATACGTTCATCAACCTACTTCTCGTATTAAGGAAACTTCATTAAATAATTGTGATTTTAAAAGCTTTAAATATTATGAGAAAAGAAACTATAATTTGAACAAGCTGATACAATAAAAGTACAAAATCTTTAGGTGAATGAATAGCATAAGGCTTTGTCACCTTACTTTTTGTACCAGAAGTGGCCTACCACAGGGTTTAGTTCTTATATAATTCCCAATGAGAACGTTCTCGTCAGTTTTGTTCTCATTTTGGTTTTGGTTTTGACGCGTTCTTGGGAACAAAACTACGACAATGGCATTTAGTTTCGATCATACATTTCGTTCTCAGTCCCTGTTTTAAAATATTAATATTTAATATTCTTTAAAATATACATACATACATACATATGTACACATGCATGTATGTATATGCATTTACAAAAATTAGAAGTTTGAATTTAAGTACAGAAACTAATGTTTTAATTTACTTTTCTTGTCTCCGTCTACTCAGGCAAACGGTTAGGTGTACATAGTCGCGTACACTCTAGACATAAAAAAATAATTATAAAAAAAAATTTTCTCACTGAAAAAATATTTATCCTCACCAAAAAGATTATACAAGAAGCTTTATGTCGCATTACCCGGGTGTTTTTCGTTTAACCGGCACCAACATATGTATATTACCCGGGTACCCGGGCAAATCGGGTAATACCCGACTACCCGGGTAATAAAAGCCCCGGGTAATACCCGGGCATTACCCGAATTACCCGGGCACCCGGGTAATACCCGGGTAACCGGGTACCCGGGTATCATCAGCCCTACTTTATACCGTCTATGATAAGGGCAGAAAATTACATATCGGAAAAATAAATAAACAAATAGATATGTGTATCGCTGACCAAATTTAAGACAGAAGAAAAATTATCAAAATTAATTTTAAATTATAGTGATGAACTATAATGAAAGATTACAATTTCTGTTTTACGCAGAAGATTTACTACATATTTCCCAACGAAATGTACTGCATCGCTCTGTTTGTAATCGAGTTTACTTCAGTTTACAGAGATGTTTTAAGACATTTATTGCATTGCTTTCATCCAACAAAAAACGAAAATATATATACTGTACTTTAATACTATTGCTGTTGCTGCTGCCTTCCATTTACTAGTACCAAAAAGTGTTATTATTTTCTTCAACGCTTAGTTTTTCGTAGTTTTTCCTCTAAAGTGTAGTTAAATTTTTATATATTTTATTTCATTTTTCTTTTGTGTAATTTAGTTTCAGTACGATATTTTGTGGTTCAAGCTACTAAAGGCTGGATAATCTCTTTGTGTTTTTAAGCTGCCTTCCTTGTTTAGCTGCACACTTTTCAAGTTAAAACTATTTAAACTTTGTGTCGTGTGTGTATTTGTTTGAGGCTGAATTGGGATGCTATGGAAGAAAACATTTTATTTTATTTTTACATAGGCCATTTCACTTCAACTAGAAATGCGCGTAATAGGCATATTTTGCTATAAAAACCTACTTTGCCAAATACTTAATTGACTTCATGACGCAGTGATGCGACCACATAACCCAAATGGTAAATGAGTTATGTTCTTCAACACACGTGGCGCAATGTCTTGCTATGCTAATATGCAACTTAGCTCTTTTCGTCCTTTTGCAATTTAACACACCCGTAAAATACACATCTCTAGTGCCCGCTAGAGCTATTCACAAACCAATATTGTCCACCATAGCCTCACAATAAAGCCTTTTTTCTATGTATGAAGTCTATTTGTTAGCTGCTCCGTAAACAACAATTTCATATACTAATATTAAACAGTCAAACAGTTTACGCGTATGTACGTACGTAAATGTGTATGTTTAGCATTACAATATATGTTTTATATATGTATGTAGGTATATATTATTTCAATTACATACTTGCTATATTTTATTAACATTTAAATATCAAATTTGCATTACTATAGCTATTTATTTATATATATTTAATTTTTCTTTGTATTTAAACTAGCAACGGCTGAGATGCGGCGCTAACTGCTACGTATGTATATTTATTAACCAAATATTTTAGACTCATTCACATTTGCTTTTGTTCACTTCTCGACAAGTTTACTCGTTTAGGCAATAATTTAAATTACAATAAAGCATTATGTTTTCATTTAAATTAATTACAAAACTAAATTAAGTGTGCAAAATATACTATAATATAAATTAATAATCAAACTTTATACAACAGCGACAATAGATCTTTTCTTTCTTAATATTTTTCAACCTGTTTGTTGTTATATTTTTTTCACTTATAAACTAAATATTAAAAATTAATAGTAATCGCGATCAAAGACGACCTCAACAGAAAATTCGGTTAATTTTAATCTTTTTTTGTACCACCCCCCACAACAATGATAATAATGAATACACGATAGCGGGGCACACAATGAAAAATGCAGGCAAAAACGTGCGTTGAAAAATAAATTTTAAAAGTTCGTTCTCGATTGCGCAGGTGCACGCTTCAAGTATTTTAGATATTTTTGTATTTTATTTTTTTAAGTTACGACGTCTAAGGAAATTCTTTGCACCTCTCGCTTCGTGTAAAGTGCGCCTGCGTCGTACACGAGTAATGCAAATTATTCGTTTAATTAGTTTTAATGTTTATGTCTAAGATTATCGCCATTTCGCTGCGTAAATTCACCCCTAACGCCCTCCGTTCTCTAATTTATGCGCCTTGCAAATTTTGTGTTTTTGTTTTTATTTTCGCGATACACAATACTAGCATATTTCAACACGTTCTAATCGTTTGTTACTTCTAGGTACGCGCGTGCGTGCACCGGTCTTTTGTGTAATGTTTGGTTTCCCCACCGCATCCCCAAAATTTTCGAGTATCGTATTTTTGCTGATTGGTTGCAGTTTTTTTTTGGCCGTGTCACAAGTATGCAGCAATTTCAGAAATTTTCTCGAATAAAAAATTTTCACTCCTTTAGAATTAAACGAATGGCTTTGATTTCACATTAGCAGCGACGGCTACAGCATTCTTGACGACATTTCCCCATTTTCCTGGTCCTCGCTTTGCAGCAGCACCTTCAATTCGAACAACCACAGCTGCTGCAACTGCTGCTAATTAAGGCGTTTTCAATAGCAGTATGTCTTTTTTTCGTGTTCGACTCGTCGTTTTGTTTCGTTGAAAGAAAAAGTTGCGGCCGAAGGTCTTTTGCAATTTGTATGACTTCCCCGCTAGGAACTCCGTTAGGTCATCTACGTAGCCTCGTGCGATGTCCTCTGACAGGTGTATGGATATCACTTCGATTTGTACCCGATCGAAGGGTAGCGTTTCTAGGATCTGCGTACAGAAAACAAAAAAAAATAATTCAATTTTTATGTAATTAATTTGTCAACAATTAAACTTGTATTCTCACCTCCAACTCGTGTCCATGCACACCCAAACTGAGCAGATCATAATCCACACGATTGTACGCCAACATCAGCGAATACAATGGAAAGCATTTGACGCGTGAATTAAACCACGAAGTTTCCTCGTCCAGCAGACTATTGATGCGCACCTCAGACTCTTCATTGTGTATGGTAACCTAGTGGCACACAGGGGGCGAGAGAAAAAGTAAATAAAATAAATACATAAAAAAATTAATTTTCTCATAGCTAAAACCATTCACACACTCACAGCACTCACCTCTTTCGGATACGGATTGGGCGAGATGCATGCGTGCACCACCTCCAGACCCGGCCGTTGCGCATTCTGTTTGCGCAACGTGAAGAAACGACGTGGCTCCGGCTCTACCACCAAGCCCGCCCAATTCAGCGTTGCCGCCAGCCATGGTGCGGTTATTAAATAGCCCATCGCACCCGGCAGCGATTGTATGAAGGCGCCATTCTCTTTCCCACCCACCAGATCGGCTACGTAATGCGCCATTTCGGGCGCAAGACCTTCAGAGTAGTGTGCGCTGAAATTAAAATGCGTCGCTGCTGTGGAGTAGGAGGCGGCCACCCCCGCTGTTGTTGCTGATGATGACGCGGTTGATGTTGCATCGTCTAAAGGCGCATTCTTGAGAAAGTGCATAGGGTATTTGCGCATCTGGATTTCGCGCAGGAATGCTATGAGTGTGGGATTATCTTGGGCCACGCCGAAGAATTCACAGTCGCGCAACATATTCAGCTTAAATTGTTTATGACGAATCTCTGTAAATGGAAGAATAGGAAGAGAGGTGACGGATTAGTGAAATGTGTAAACAGGAAAATTCGTGAATAATGAGAATGCCATGAATGTAGTCATATATCAACTTTATTATTATTAAGCAAAAAATGGTGAATAAGCCTACTACTTCCAGCAAAAATGGAAAAAGATGGGTCCTGTACGGACCAGCTTTATTTGTGGTCAAGGATTGGCACTTCATCGAAATTCCATAGAACCCTGGGGAATTGAACACAATAAACAACATCTGAGGGAGTTCCAGATCCAGTTTTTAGCAACAGGGGTACAACTCTTACTTGCAGATATTTATAGAAGGCAAGTGGTTCTCAAAAATTGCAAACACTGTTGAGCATGCTTGGTTAGCTAAAGGCGTTAAGCTGATCCTGGGATCTGTGAAACATCATGCTCCGGATTATGCTTGGGCTGCTTCATATTACAAGGATTTGACAAGCTCATCATGCTCACAAATTATTTGGACACAAAATTCAAGTCCAGATTCGGTCTTCAAGAGCACAAAATAAAGAGCAAACCAGCGCGAACTTATTGGTTTGATTATTGTTGTTGTTGTAGCGGCTACAGCAACCCCGCCCAGATCGGTTGGTGTAGAATCGTTAGCGTCTGTCCATAAGGACAGAGGCGTTAGTAAAGTGGGGTTCAGTGGGCATGCGAAGAGATGTCTAGAGTCATGGGGTGTTGCTCCGCATCGCGGGAACTCGTTTGGCACATCTGGTTTTACTCTGCTCAGGTACGAGTTTAACGTGCTGCAGTAGCCAGAGCGAAGTTGGGCTGTTGTGGTCCGAGTCTCTCGAGACAGACGAATCTCCCACGTCGGTGACACCCTACTAAGAATTGCTTGCAGAGCATTGCGTTATGCTCCTTCATAGGGAGTAAATGGGCCTCGTCGTGTAGGTGATGTTGTGGCGCCATCAGAAGGCATCCTGTCGCTGTCTGTAGCTTTATCCACTGCGTCCTACCAGTCCCCGGCGACCACACAGGCGCTGCATAGTTCAGAAACGGCCGGCCAAAACATTTCTTTGTTTTTGCCCCAGGTCCTGGCGGCTAGCGACTTGCGGGTTATTCACCGTCGAGGTGGTCCGTCATCAACTTGAATACCCAGTTGCAGTTTTACCTCCTTCGTCCAAGTCCAAGAAAAGTGTTGCTGAGAATTTTATAGGGGAGAGGGTTAGACTCCGTGCAGTGAAGAAGCGAGAAAACTCGGCGCGATAACCGTTTACTTTGGAGCACAAGTCATCAGTTCCATTCTCGGATGCCATTAGCGAGCAATCGAGACTCCTTTTGGAAGAGGCTTAGAAACAGTTAAACAGTAGTTTTATTTTCCTGGGTTTGCTCTATTTATCTCTAAAAAATTGCTAACAAGTGTCGAATACTTAGATAATTCGCCGACCACCGTTTGAGTCCCTGTGGGAGAGAGGAGGCCTCCTCTATGTCGTCCAGTAGCGTGGAGTGACTGACGATGTCGAACGCCTTGGACAGGTCCAACGCTACTAGAATTGTTCTCTCACAGGGGCGGTTTCGGTTAAGGCCACGAGTTATCTGGGTGTTTATGGCGTTAAGTGCTGTTGTTGTGCTGTGCACTTTACGGAACCCATGTTGATGCCTCGCTTTGGTCAGGTAGTTTGTATAGTGCGGGAGTAGAAGGGCCTCATTGATTTGATCTTCACAGTCTCCAGACGGAAATCCGACTGAAAATGTAAGGAAATAAATGAAGCTGAAATTAGCTGGGGAGTACAGCAAATCTGAGTTTGAAATAAAAGTTAAATACAATAAAGGTCTTGGAAACGGCTAAAACGTCATTAAAAATTTTGTAGGAATATGAGTTGAGGTTGAACTTGAGTCCAAGAAGGTTTAATAATTTCAAGATAATGAATTGCTTGACGAATTTGCGAGCTATGGCTCTACGGATCAAATTTTAAACCCAATCTTGTATAACAGACACCAGCAGGTAAATCAAGAAACTTGCGAATAGAGGTCCATGATATGGTAAAACCATATACAAACCAGCCAAGGGTTTGGGATTTAAAAAACTTGTATTAAATTTTTAAAAGGTTGCAACTCTTCGAGAAAGTAAAACCTTATTGCATATCTACAGCACGAGCCCGTTAATTAGACTCCTCACTTTTTGATATCGAACGAACGGTGCGGATCTGATGGAACAGGACAAAAAATCCCTTCGCGTATTATATATATAGATGGCTGATCGTAATTCAGATATCACTCCTCAGTTAAGCAGGAACAATGTTAGGTCTTGAGAAAGCCATACATTTTAAGAGTATTATTTTCTGCATTGCTTTCGGTTTAGTTTTTAAAAGCTCAAATTTCCAATATTCAAAAGGCTATTGCAGTAACTCTCTGTTCATTTTAAATTCATTAAGCCTTCATTAAGCAATAATAACGTTACATAGAGTCGCGTGTCCTTGCTAAAATTACCTAATCAGCATAAAGATATGGAATCATTAAATTATATAATGCTAATAAAGCGGCTAACACCCACGCGCCGTTGTTAAAATAGGAAAAGCAATAACACCAACAACAAAGAACGGAGTTAGTAATTGCGAAATGCTTAGTGCAAATTTACATACATTTGCGACTACTATTTAGATTATTATTTCTTTTTTTTTTTGTTTCTGTTTGCCCAGATACGCCACGCCAGTAGTTTATTTGACTTTCACATGCTATGCCCGAATGGCACAAAATGTCGACACTAAAACCATTGCAGCCGGCAAAAATAAATGCGAAAAATATGTTAAAAAATTGTATGAATAAGTATGTATGCAGGTAGTTTAACCAAATGAACTAGCGCATTTTAATAAATTACAAGCTGTCAAAGTTGAAGGTGAAAGCGGCACGCCCCCGCGCGGCGACTCACTGCGCCGTGTGGCAACCTCTTTGTGCCACCTATAAGCGCGCCGAATTCGAAACAGCACTCGAAAGGGTGGCTTGCTTTCACAGACTACGCTCATCAGGCCAGGCAGGCAGCAATAAATGCTCAACGAAGGGATAGTAAATGCGAAAGTATGGAAAAAAAGCTCGAAACGAAGTGTGTTTCGGAAATGGTGGTAAAGGACGTGTGTCAAGTTAGCACTACACTTTTCGAAATTGGAAAAGTTAACTACGGCATTAATTGTAGTGTTTTTGTTGTAAATTTGTTGTGGAAAGAAAAAATTTGTAGCTCTCGTTTTTTAAGAAAAAATGGTATGTAGTGCTAACTTGACACCATAC